CGCTGCGCCGCGTCCCGAAGCAGCCCCGGGGGAGTCTCCCCCGAAGGGGCGGTTCTGAGGCGAGAGCGGCCGCAGGGCTCGGCGCGCGGCCCCCGGGGGCGCCCCGCGGGTACCTGGTGAAGACGTCGGGGTAGTGTGTTTTCTGGAAGGCCCTCTCCAGCTCCTCCAGCTGGTAGCTGGTGAACGTGGTGCGGTAGCGGCGCTGCTTCCTCTTGAGCAGCCCCTCCTCGGAGTCGCTGCCGGCCGAGAGGCACACGCTCTCCTCGCCGTCCTTGCCCTCGCCGTCCTCGGCGTGCAGCAGCAGCTCCTCCTTGGGCGACAGCTCGCCGCCCTCGGCGCCGCCGGCCGCGGCGGGGCCCCGTCGGGGCTCCTGCAGGAGTCCGCCGCCCTCCTCGCCCAGCAGCTCCTCCTCCTCGTCCTCCTCCAGCTCCTCGTCCTCCTCATCCTCCTCCTCCTCCAGCATCCTCGGTGCGTCTCCAAGCAGTCGGATCTGCCCGTTGGTGGTTGAGCTCCGCTCGGTGTAGGGTGATGATGGGGCCTCCCTAAAGAGTGTGGCCAGAAAGAAGCTATCCTCAAATCGCCAAGTTGTTGTTAGCTCGTTTCTCATCTTTAGTTTATTAACATGTTGCAGTGCAGTATTTTTTAAATAACAATCTCATATCTAATACATATCTAATATGTATCTAATGCCCTTAAGTCATGAAGGCAGGCTGGCAGTTTTAAGAACTCATCCGTCCTACCCATTCCCTTTTGTAGCAACCAAAGAGAAAGATTAATCTGCAGCTCTTGTGACATTGCCACCGATATACAAAAAATAATTTCACTGGAGAACAGCAGCTCTTCACCCCTGTGGCCCTTACATGGAGATTTAGCATAAGATCAAAATGCCGTAACCGCCTTCTTGCTTCTGATTCAAAACACTCTATGGAGACTCATTTGCCGTTAGTACCAGAGACCCTCTGGGTGACAACTGCTTCTCAGAAACCAGCCTTCATGCAACTGCATTCAAATGCTGCCTGGACTTGCAAATGTGGCATTCCCTGGAGCTTTCAGTGCGATAACCTCGGCCTCTAATTCCAGCTTTGTCTTTGCAGAAGGAGCTTTAGGAGGTTCTGTGCTTGAAATTGGTTTTATTCATGTTTTGTGATCTACTGATAATTTTTTTCGATGCAAAGTGCTTGGACCTTTTTCATTTTCAAGATCTGTTGATTTGTTAAGGAAAAAAAAGCATTGAAAGCTCAGCTAGGGAGAGCAGGTCTGGTAAAATTTACTCAGAATTACAGCAACATTTGCAAATTTGTCAACTTTGGGCCTAACAATCTGATTTCTTGTGTCAGTACAAGCATTTTCTGATTCTCTTTCTCCTATGAAATGACATAAAGAGCCCAAAACCAAAATAAGGACTTCTCAGAAACCTCTGTCTGCCAGGACATTCCAACAGGTCCAGTCTCTCATTCCAGTGTATTAAGTATATATTGCTGCAAACTGCAAGCCAGATCTCGCAGCTGTTCTCTTCTGTGCATTTTCTCTGGAGGTTGGTACTTACTGGGAGAACTCAGGCTGATTGATAGGATAACATCACATCACTGCCCGTGTCTTTGGTGGAAAGCAGCAAATCTATTTTCCTAATCCGAGCTCATTCCCTCTCCAGCACGCACGGAGCACAGTGTGCGGTGCGGGTTGCGTATCTGTTTGGCTTCAGGTTTTGCAGAGCTGAATGAGTGAAACAAATTGTTTAACCATCTTCCCGAGGCCTGGGTTGTGGTGTGCAATGTAGAAAGAAGAGCGAAATACCAGATTCGCCATCAGTGTCAGTGGAATATTTCATACCCTTTGCTTTCACCTGAGCATTTCCTTGTCTCTGAAGTTTATTTTAATAGCTTTGAATAGAACAAAACCATTAACTCCTGCGAGAGAGCTTTATGACACCGGACAGGAAGAAAGCTTTACAAGCATGAAAGTGATTTAAAGATTCTGTAGGCAATTTCCTTGGTTTTGAGCAAAGCTGATGGCAATCTAAGGCCCAGTTTACTCGGGTGTGTGGGTGCTCTCAGGTTTAGGCAGAAATTCCTGAGTGGGAATTTCCCAAGTGGGAATTTCACTGACTGGAGGTCAGTGACTCGTGTTGCATTGAGCTGGCCCTGCATAGTCTAGATCACTCAATATATTGCTAATTATGAAGGAAAGATTGCTGGGACAATGAATGGTGAATGGGGTCTCTTCAAGGGTATACAGCCCTTTGTAAGGTATTTTAATATCTTATCAATCAGTAATCTTAAACCAGTAAAAGATTTACAGCTTTTTGTTTATTACAGTAGAGTGACCCCCACCTCTGATAACCTGCATGGAACACGCAGCTCAAGCTGGAATGTATTTGCATTTACACAGAAATAAAATGAGGTGGAAAATCTCGACAAG